GAGGGGGGTTCTTTGGTTGATTTCTGGATCTGGTTTTGGGAGTCTCGTCTGGGTTTTCGAGAGTAGTAAAGGGAGATTTTGTGGAGCTTCCAGATGAGTCATCGGAGACTTAGCATCTTCTGGGTTTTATTCTCTTAGGTAATTTCTGAACAGATGAATTTTTGGGGAAGAGCCATGAGGGAGAAGAAGGGAGCTTGATCCCGTGGGTGGGATCCCTCCTTTCGGACCTTAATCTGCTTTTTTTTAAAGAAATTTCGCCTTGTTTGATTGTGATTGCAGTAGATTTTTGCTGTATTGAAATTGTATTAAATGATGAAATTGGGAATGAAATCAAGCATGAATTTCATGGATCTGAATTCGAATGGATGTTTATCTGCTTTTTTTTGGTTTGTTTTGTTGAATGGCTGAATAGCAACCCAAAGTTCCCATTTCTTTTCTCTCCAGATTCGTTCGACGTTTGATCCGTTTTGCATATTGGATGAATGTATATCTTTGCTAGAAATGACATGAACCCTAGTTGCAAGTTTCCTTTATGCATGTTTGATCTGTATTTGTTTATTTAGAGTAATGGGTCGTGTTTCTGGGTTGGATCAACCCGACCCAATTCAATATAAAAAATAAAAATAAAAATGTTAAAAAGTAAAAAAAAATTAATAATATAAAATTATTAATTAATTAAAAAAGTTAGTTTAATTTATGATTAATGAAGTTAATTAATTTTAATTAAAATAAATAAATTATATTTATTGAGTTTGATTTGAGATGATTAAATTTATGAAAAAAAGTTTATGTCAGCCTTATCTCTTAAAAATTAGGAGGAAAATTATCTTAAAACTACGCTGTTTCAATAACTTTTTATTGAAAAAGATTAAATTACCTTATTTTTAAAGTATGCATTAAGGTAATTTTTGTTTTTTTTTTCTCATAATTTTTGAAAGGTAAGGCGCACAAACATTAACTCCTAAATTTATTTAGTTATCTCAATTAATGATTAATAAATATGATTAATTAATTTTAATTAATGTTAAGTTAATTATTTAATTAGGTTAATTATCTTGATTAATTAATTTTAATTTTCAATTAACTTTAATCTTGGTCAAAATCAAAGTTATCTTTTATTTTATCTCAATTTCACCCACAAGTTTTATGATTAAGCAATTCAGGCCCAAAGTTTCAAATCTTTTTAAATCAGTCCTCCATATTTTCGAATTTAATCAAATTAGTTCCTTTAATTTTATTTGTGCTTATGATGCATGCTTGTCTTTGATTTTGTCCATTTTAGTCCAAAAATTTTAAAA